AAACACTTCTTCAACATACTGAGTGGTGTCCAAACACAGGCAAAACATGGAAGCATAACACATGTCCCACAGAGATTACCTTCAAGACGTCCTTGGAAATCTCTCCCATTCTGTAAAGCATGGATACATGCCATTCCCCTGATAATATATTTAGAGGGGGGGGGGTGCTCTGGGGCAGCAATGTAATGGCTCATTTTGGTCATATGGTCTGAGTTATCTTGTTCATAGCCTGCTGGCAGACAGAATTTCAGTTTGACATTTTCCTATGACAAAGCAGCTGGAAGGAAATAATGATGACCGCTATTGAAAAAAAAAACATACAGTAGATTGTATGAGCACGAATCAAGGTTTTTTTCTATCTCCATCTGGATGACTTCAGCGGCGACTTTTCCAACCTGTTTTCTTTTCAATCATAAATATGTCTGTTGTGCTAAAGAGGCTTTAAAACGTAGTGCCACACTGGATCGCTCAGGTGTTATTCTTCCTTTTAACCTTTCCTCCTTCAGTAACTAAACTTGTTTGAGGCCTTCACAGATACACCTCAGCACCACATGAGAAAATGAAAGAAAAAAAAATCTCTTTCATCTGTCTAATGCATATACCCTTCTACAGCCTGCTTTCTGCCACTTTGGATATGTCATCTGTAATAACTATGAAAAATTGCAAAGCGCCTGGAGTCACAACTCTCTACTTGGGTTTATGCCTCCAAAGGGAGTGGAGTTCTGAGCACAAACAAATGTGATTTAACCCAGGCTGTGGCGTCCATAATGCTCCTCCATAATAATCAAGAGACTTGCAAAAAAATAAATTGAGAAAAATGTTACAGCAGCATTGCACTTAATGCTGAGAGCACCAACGTGTAATAATTGTATGGTGCATCTTTATATTAGTACGAGTCACATCTAGTTACATACTGTACTGCAGAAAACAAAACTAGAGATTTCCATCTGTAACCTAAAGGTCATCAGAAGCTACAGATATGAAATAAAAAGTTTTGTTCAATGATATCAAAACTCAAAAGCAAAGTGATCAACTCACTGAAATCTACTAAGAAAACACATTTTTTGAAACTCATACTGTACATTCACGTGCATATTCTAATGGAATAATCACCAAAGACCGGTTTTAACAACATTGATACTGTACATCATTTTTTTACACTGTCAAAATGTACTAGTGACATAATATTATAATTCAACATTTTTCTAATCTTACAACTCATGTAACACGTCATCTTTTGTTCCAACCCATTCATTTTTCATAATACCATCATTGGACATTAAATCATTAAGTAGCATTGTACAATTTATGTTGACCAAAGTACACAAATGACTAACATTAGAATTTTGTACTTAGAATAGACTGAGTGGGAAAAACTGATTACTATTTGAAGATTAAATTCAGATTTCCTTGAGCTTAAAATAGGTAGAAGTAAAACATCATTTCAAAGTCACTACCATGTATTCATGGGGTCAAAAGGTGTCTTTGAAGTTATGTTCTTTGTATTTTCTTGAGAAACAGAAGCTGATCTTTACTCCCCTCCCTTGGCTAGAAACTTAATTTTCGTTTGAAGGGTGGCTACAATCCCACAGGAAATATGACCTTTTCACCATTCCTGATAGCCAGGTGCCTAAGCTTACTTAGGCATTCAATTTTGTATCTTTCCTTCACAAAAAAATAAAGTCAATATTTTGTTGAGCAGTTTTCAACCTATAGAGAGTAGGTGACATGAAAGAATTCACATACTAAGTGCTATTTAGAATCATGATCCGGAAATATCTGTGCAGTGAACAGTGCTCATGTAATTGTATTACAAATAAAGCACACAGAGACAAAGAGTAATTAAAAAATAATTTAAATTGCCGTAGATATATTGTACTCTTTTCTTAAACTCAAATTAATTTTAAATCATAGACAAACATAGCTCATCATTTGTAAGCATCTGTATTAGAAAGAGTGGATTCTATGTGTAGCACTATTTAAAAATAGTCTATTTGTACCAATTAAACTAAGATAATGTAAAAAATTAAGATTTTTTTTGCAGACCAAAAGGAGACCATTGGGAAAATCCAACTGAAATTGACTGGTACAATATAATTTTGAAATACAGTAATTCAACTGCGAAAACAGTTCTGGGATACAGATGACTTTTTTCTACAGTCATGTGAATATCTGTTCATAGGGACCTATGCATATACAGTAAGTACATATAAGGATATAATCTCCACTACACCAAGAAACAGACGGGCTTTATCTTTGACACACTGAAAGCTTTATACATTTCTTTCACTTTTTTTCTGTAGGGATTCTAGCAGTTTTCATGGCTTTGGCAGCTTTCCCCAACATTTTGAAGATCTTTAATAGTAGCCTGGGGAGATATGAAATTAGAAAAGATTCTCAGGATTCTAATATGGCATCATGGTGTTTAAATAAAGGGACATACAGAGGGTTTCCAAATAGTCCACTGCAGTGAAAAAGACATCAGGTAAAAATCCAGTTTCAGCACGGGAGCACCTACAGTATATACAGTAGTGTACTGTAGCCGTACCCCCACTTTGTGGGTACCATAACAACTCCTTTTTCAGACTCACATAACCTATAAATTCAGGTTCCTCAATTCCCCAAATTTCAGTTGTGGCAGTTTTGCTGACCTGCTTCTTCATTTCCTTATGCATTCCCATTGTTTCACTTCTCTGAGGAGGCTGTAACCTGAAGTCTCTTAAACACAATTCCAGGATAGAGCACACACCCATCACCCACTCAATATCAAAACATATTGAGTTTTACAGGCTCCTAAGGGGAGTTTTGTTAACCAATAACCATACACCACTGAACTGAGATAAAAAAACGTTCATCCAAACCAATAAAATATTAACCTTCATGTGATCACATATCAACCAATCCAAGAACACACACATGAACATAAACAACACCATCACCCATAGGCTTGTAACCAGATCGATGTGCATATAGTGCACGCAGCACGTAACCATGCAACCCAAACCAAACTCCCCTCGTAGCGACAGCGTCCCTGTTACATGTTCCATCAAAAGTCTGGTCTTAAATAATACTCCTAAGAGAAAGTGGGATTGAGCTTCAGACTTTGTCAGGCTTTGCTCTTTCAATAGTAATAATAACTTTTATTTTCTAAGGGTTTGCAATTGTAATAAAACATACTGTAACCATCCTTTTATTGCAAATCGACCTCTATATTTCCAGTTAAAAGGCTCCATGTTGTCTTGTGCTTTATTGCTATTGATTATTTTGGCTTGTCTGCTTCTACCTCAAGCAAAAGATCAGATTGAAATTTTCAGGTATTGATCACAAGTGCAACATATTCTTAGGACAGTACACAATTAAAAAAAAATCATAGTCAATGGATTCCACGTTTCCCAATTTGCTTGAAAGATTTCAAGAAAAATGAAACATGTGATTCAACATAATTCAAAACTCTTTCAGTCCTACCTCTTTGAGCTTCGAGGTACTTTATTTAAGGTTTCTATTCAAACACTGAAGAATGAGCAAAAAGCAGAACCAGACATTCAACCATCATTTCATTCCAACATAAAATATAAATTCTACTGTGTTTCTTCATCGTATATCCAAACAACAGCACTATTGTCCCAGGTAGTGCAAGTCCTTTGCTCAGAAGTTACAAGAAAAACATTTGACAAAACTGCACTTTATACAGGTTTCATGATACTGTGATGAAAGTAAGTTAGAACATAAGAAATTGTAGTGCCTTAAAAGTTGAACAATTCTGAAATGATGTTCTGAAAGATATTTTGAAAGATAAACATACAGTAATTATACAAATGTAAAGGGATTTAGAGTGTATTTGGTCTGACAAGTCTTTAAGTTACCAGTACACTTAAGAAGCTACAGTTTAAAAAAAAAAACTATTGCACTCACTGATAAACAATAAAATTGTTTTGTAAAAGCTATGTTCAATTTGGTCATGTCACTACTTTTATATCTACATTTTTCTAGAAAGTCATTTGGAAAATGGTTTTGAAAAAAGCTAGTCTGTTTTATTTTTTTAAATTAAAAAACTTTACTGTTACTGCATTCAGAATACTCTTAAAATGAAAAAAAAACATAGAATACAGATACTGTATGATAAGGCTTCAGTATGAAAAACACATGTTGTTTTATTAAATAAGATGATAATAACCTTGAATACAAAAAATGTCTGAAGAGAAGTGCGATTCAGTGTAATATTTGAAACATACAGTAACATTTCTGCAGTAAACTGTATTTTCAACGATGTTGCCTTTACAATATCAATTCAGACTGATACTTTACAGTATCTAATTAAATACTTGAATTTTTTTTCTGTAACATGTCCTAAAGGAAGAGGTTTTCTGCCTTTTGACAAAACCCCTGTTTGAAGGACCAGTAAGAAGATAAAGAAATAGAAAAAAATGCAGCCTTGTTACTAAGGAAGGGGCTTCGGTAGATCTTTTGGAGTCCAAAGTCTAAAACACCAGTATTTTTATCTGTTATCTTTCAAAAGACAGAGATTTATTTGTACCAGGAATGGGAGTCCACGGAGTAGTGCTGTACTATTCACTTTCCAAGTATGACTGAGCATCAAATCTATATTGTCGTTTTTACCATAAGAAATATACAGTAACTTTTATCAAAAGGAATTCACATAAATTATAGTGGTCGACTCAGAATATCCTATTAGTGTACTAAAATCTGTTACTTAAAGATAATATGTTTTTTTTTCTCCTACCTTATGTTTAAGATCAGTAAACATCTTATAATAAGCAACACATTCAAAGCAAGATAATTCAATAAGGGTTATATTATGCTATAGTATGTAAGCCTGGCAAAGTTGGCATTTAACAATGACGACCCCAAAAGACCAAAGATCCTAAGGCTCTGAAGCAAAGGGACACCACATTCAGACCTTTCCAAACCTCTGACATTTATACTGAAACAAATCAACAATTCATTTATCTTGCTTTGGACACAAAGGAACATAAACTAACCTTTTATTCAATGGCACCCACTGCACAACGAACCAGGACACGAGCTTCACACCAGATACTGGAGGTCTGGTCTGTCCTGAAAAGAAAATAGGTGTCCGTTTTAGCAAACACATTATTTAAATAATAATAGTAAACTGGAGGAAGAAGGAAAAATGAAAATACATTTCACAGAGACAAAATACAAAAGATCCACATGTAAATGTTAATTAAGGCAGTGGAATGAAAGAGAAATTAACAAAATGTTAATGTTCATTGGATTTTAAAAGCCTCGGAAACTATTTTTGTATGTTTATAAATGGTGCTTGTAGAACCCATTTTCATACATATCCTGTAGTACTCAAGCCACCGTATCAACACAAATAACCTGTTTATTCCCCAAAGCAAAATTGCACTTAATGATACTTTGAATAAAGTCAATAGTTATCGGTTGATTTCAACACAAGCTATACACTGTTGAAGTACTGTGAATAGATTATCACACTGCTCCACTACAGACTATTTTACTTTTATACTATGACTTGTCCCTGTATGTTTCAATAAACTGCTTCATTATCCTTGATTGGATGATGAATATCGCAGAATATTATAGAATGCTACTGTATATTCAAGCATTCATGAATATTATTAATGCCACTGAGTTTTTTAATGTTGACTTTGCACAGAGTATTGCTTGACTCTACATGTATATGAACAAGTAATAGGTTTATTCCATGCTGAAAAGAGAAGAAAAAAAAACATGTTTCGGCCGTGGAGCCTTCTTCTACATGTATATATTTTGTTGCAAAATGCTGGAAGGTTACAAGAAAAAAACTCAATGCAGTTAGCCTAGGCACAGCATCCTAAAAAAATAAACTAAATAAGAGTTTATTCAGCTCACAGATATAGACCATAAAATGTTTTGAGGAGAAAACTAACAAATATTTATTGAGATCAGGTCACAAAGACACAAGCTATGCCTGCAGTTTACAAAAATCAGAATATGGTGGTTCTTTGATGAAGAAATGCAAGCAGTGGTAGAAGGCCTTGTGTTTCAATTGGTCAGGGTATGTTGGAAGTGCAACAAGGAGACGCAGCAGGACTTATGCTAGGGCTGTTAGTGCAGTATAAAATTTGTAAAAGCAACTGTTCTTTTTAGTGTGTTCAGATTGAATCATTAGGATAAGTATATTTTTGTGCGTTGTGGATTTTTTTCTGTGTTATTGTAAAGTAAAGGACAATGGGATTATTGTATGAAAATGCATCTGCCATGCTGTACTGTACAGTACTGTATGTGTAGGACACAGAAATGTACTTGTTTTGAATGTTGCTTATTGAAGGCAGCCTAAAATAAGTTATGTTAAATAAGCAACTGACTAATATGTCAAATGCTCTTTGAGTGTGTCATTTAACTAGTTGTTTAGCCTTTTAAAAATTCCATTATTACACATTTAAACTCTCATTGTTACGATAAATTAATAGAAAAAGTGACTCAATTATTTACTCTTATTCCATAGATAAATTTAGAATTACAGTCCTTCTCTGTGTTTTTAAAGGGAAACTGTATCATTTAAGGTGTCTACACTTTGTTCCAATTTCTTATTCACGAGGAATGACAACACCCCAAAATCGAAGCGTAACGAAATATTGTGGAGTGAATATTTGGCTTAACCTGCTTGGCTGAGGGCCGAACTCCTGGCCGTAGGATGAGGAGGCCAGGACCCCAAAAAGAACCGAGCGGGACCCCAAACCACCAATGCAGTATTTGGAAGAGCTTGAAGAAGGAAAGGAGGCATGATCTGTGGCGCATGGATCGTGCAGCGGTAGGGTAGTCGGAGTCTCTATAGGTTTACTGTAGGGAAGTCGCTTCTGCTGACCTAGGCGAGTCACTTATTATGGATACGCGTTGAGGAACGGACGCGGGGTCTAAGTGATGAGGAACTGTGTAGGCTCTCCGTGGATGGGAAAGGAAAATTGCTGCTATTTCTGGAATGGGTTAGTGGTACCGGCGTTATCTGGATGGGTACGGGCCCGTGTTTATGATTGTCCCCCAAAAGCAGCAGTGGAAATTGGAGACTCCTGTGCTTGATTCGCATGGTGATCGTGAGGAGAAATGGAGGTAGACAGTAGCAACTTGGCCTTTTATAGCCATTAACTTTGATGGGGGTTTCTTGGACAGAAGGGGTGGCCGGCTCGAAGGAAGTGATGCAAAAGTCAAATGCGAGGGAGGGAGATATCGCATTTGTGTATTTATAGTGTTCGGTGGAGGAAGGATGAAGGGAGTGATTGCTAATCACTGACGGCTGGGAATGATTGAGCATGGTTGTTGTCATCCCTCCCGAACTTTAGTTAAATAAACTCCATAAATTAGATGTTGGATGTGAGCAAATCTTTTGTTCAATATGTATAGTGTTTAATACATAAATGGACTATATCAATCTGACATAAATAAAGCTGCTAAAATTTTCGATTAGGATCATGGTGATCCAGGGCCTGTGTAAAAAGTATGTTGCAAATGTGTAAGGCTGCAAAGCATGACTACACCCAGGATTGGAAACTAATCCAATGCAGAGCCCATACTCAAGCACAATTAAGACCCCAGTTAACCTACTGTAGCATGTGTTGGGGGAAGACAGGAGATAGACACATAAAACTAAGTCTCTTATACCGAACATTCAGAAGTTTGGAGTCATATTCAAGACCCAAAGCAGAATAATATAACTACTGTACCTTTTTAACAAGAGAATAAAAAGCCTCACAAATCTAACTTAAATTAACTTAAATTCTGTCAGCTTATCAGTCACTTAGTTGATATTCAAGGACAGCTTCCAAAACTTCACTGACAAAAAGACAAGTGATTCCAAAATTATACATTTTATGTGTCATCAAGTTGTAGTTTGTGACTGGAAATGACAGGAGCCCCATCTGTCCAATTAAATGTATTCTTCCTGGATTTAGGAATGACGTCCAAATGGTTGTGTTTCATTCCTGATGTTCATTTCTGCCAAAGGGATAATAGTGCTCCCATAATGTGTATTGTATTGTAACAGGCATCTTTACAGTTAATTGGTTCAAAAGCCCAACTAAGCAAATCCAAATTTAAAAAGAAGAAAATATAAGCAAGCACTATCCCAACATATCAATTAAAAAGGCCAAAAATCCAACACTGCTACATAAAACTGCAAATAGGGAAAATGTAATCCTCACTGTTTTTATGTTGTTCAACCAAAACCTACTTTTTATTTTAATCTTCTAAAATCCATTATTTATGGTCTGCTTTTTCCATTTATTACACATCCTCATTACTTGGCCCTTGAAACATCAATGTCTGATACAGAGCACCAGCTTGGAGAGGCCGGCTTACAGCAGCTGTGAATTTCCCCCACAGCTGCTGTCTGTCACTGTGCCTTCAGCTCGGCCGGCTGCTATGTGCTTCCCTCTCAGCATTCACAAGGGGACAAGCGCCCTCTCAACCCGGATGGAACCCTTCTGTGACCCACCAAAATCAAAGTCCATTTTTTCAAAAGAAAGGAGTGAAAGACACAGGTGTTTTTGTTTTTGACGTGACACAAAATGCCATGGTGTTGTAAATAACCTTTCCAGTCCAATCATTCAAATAACACTTGCACACAAATTAAAAAGACTTTACACTGTACACGCCGTTTTAAAAATAAAACAGAACATAATTTTTTAGCCTATCAAGGTTTTTGAGGAAACTAACAAGCAGCCAAGAAACTGTTACTTTCACTGTAAACCTTAACCCAATACTCCTTGGCACCTGCTGTATGTGGCCAAAATCCCAAATGAAGCCAAATATCCAGAGTGTTTAAGAAACTATGCTCCTATGTTATACAACATGAACACATTTGATAGAGGTTTACAAAATAATTAATACATGTGGCCTATAGCGCACAACAAATTCAACAAGAAGGAAAATTCTGAAAACAATTACTGGCAAATACAGAAAATACACAGTATTTCTCAAAACCCGAATATATCCCGAGTCGATCGGATTGCCTCTCTTGGAAAAGCTGTCCTCCTCCATCAACAGTACCAAAAAAAAAACGTTTAATCATAAACAAGGTCACTGGTTCCTATGTTCCATTGTTTTAAAACATCCAAAAAATGTACAGATGCCTGCACTACAACACTTACTGTAACAGCATTAAGGTCATGGCTTACCAACATTTTTAGAGAATCGAGTATATGGACATACCTGTATAACATTTGCAAACAATTCGATACACAGAATTGGTCACCACATAAAAATCATCATAGAAACCAACAGTCAATGGAAAAGAGAAAAGGAACATAGAAAAAGGAAAATAGGGGAATTAGGGAGCTTGCATATACAGTACAAGAAACTGATGTGAAGGTCATAAAGAGCAAAGCTACTTGCCATATAGAAGACATGCAAAACTCCAATTATTCTCTACTTCACCTCAGGTTATGGCCCTATGGGCTTATAATTGGAAGGCCGGGAGTTCAAACTCCGTCATTCTACCCTTGAGTAAGGAACTTTGCTCAGATTGTTTCAGTTAAATAGCCAACTGTGCAAATGTAAGGCACTTTGGATAAATATAGAAGCTCAACAAATTATACTTATTTAACTGATATTCATGCATTTTAGGAAGGTTATGAGGCACTTTTTCATTTTATACAAAAGCTCTTAAAATATAGACATACTGTATTACATGTACTTCTCTACACCTACTTTTCTAACTTGAGCATTTTAAAGTGCATCTTCTCTGCTGACAAAGAAACCCTACATCCTTACTGTTGCCTTCACATTATAATTTCAGACCAAGTTTAGAATAAACAACGTAAAATGAAAAAAATGATTTATCGCTGCCATTAATACATGGATATTGATAAAACAGGAATGAATCAGTGCTATCTATTAAAAAAAGAGGGGGATTGCTATCTATTATCTGGTAGCATTCTGAAGGTGTTTACCAGGTCTTTGACACTCAGATTAAAAGCTATTAGTCAACACTGGCAGGTGTGCAAGGACAGGGACGTGGATGAACAATTTATATATTAGTATATCAAAAGCCCATTAGATCTTTGTACTACAATAAATAATGGCATGCTGGAAAG